GAAACCAGATAGAAAGAGACACACACCTAGTTCGTTCGCGCCCACGCCTCCCCCTCTCTCTCTCGCGCACACACACACTCCAGCATTGCAATCTTGATATCGCAGCCTGTTTATTATGCTGCGTTCACACCAAACGCGAGTAGAGCGAAATGTATCGCTATTTAGAGTTTTATTTATTTTTATACCGTGTATTCTCCGTGTACATTCGTGCACCGAACCGTGACGCCCGTAGGCTACCGGTTCGGTTCAATAGGAATACATGTACCGTTCCAGTACCCCTATACAACGCTGTCATTAAGTTGAAGTTATCACATTATAAAGTACAGTCCTCGCTCCAGACCTGCTCACTCGCTCTGTTCGGTTTCATTACAGTGTGCTCCTTAGCACTGGAGCTCCCTCTGCTGTCCATAAGGTGCATCTGCACCAGCCATTTCAAACCCAGCCTCCAGTATTTGGGCCACGCCTCCTTATTTGCATACACTCCTCAATCCTCAATCCTCAAATGCCCAATCCTAAATGGCTAAATGATTAAATGCCCAATCCTAAATCCCTAAATGCCCAATCCTAAATGGCTAAATGACCAAATGCCCAATCCTAAATACCAAATGCCCTATCCTAAATACCAAATGCCCAATCCTAAATACCAAATGCCCAATCCTAAATACCAAATGCCCAATCCTAAATACCAAATGCCCAATCCTAAATACCAAATGCCCAATCCTAAATACCAAATTCATTTTCGACTTAGACATTTAGTTTTCGTTTAAGACTTTTAGTTTTAGACTTTTAGTTTTCAATCTGACCCAATAATCCCTCTATAAGATTCTTTTGGGCTTCTAAATCTAAGTTACCATTCACTCCCATTATAAAGCTTTGAAGAGCCAGGATATTGTTTAATATAACTGACTGTGTTTGGATAAAGTCAAATACACCTAGAATGGCTTGAGGGTGAGATAATGTTCATTTTCGGGTCCCTTTAAGTTATATGAAATCTAGTAAATTTGTATTACAGTGAAATGGATTAAATTTCAGCAACAATTAATAATGCATGTGTTTAGTAACTTGGAAGAGGCCATCCGCCGCCCACAAGCTTATGCGTTTGAAGCGTTTCATGTAAAGTGCTCTCATGCTTTAGACAGGCGAGTTCATGCACTCTTCCCACTTCAGTTTGATCTGTGGCCTCGGACAGGTTTTCTAATGCTTTGTTCTGAGAAATTCACAGACCAAATAGAAAAGTACCTGCATTTGGTGCTTCGTGGGTGTTCATTTCGGCCATAAAACTCATGCTAGTGTTTACAATTCTTATTTAACACTGTCGCGTTGCTGTCAATAATTGACGTTGTGTCACTCAGCAAATTGAAAAGCATTATAATTAGTCTGATGAATAATAACACTGTTAATATAAAGACTTGATATACAAAAATCCGTGTTAATAGAAAGTTGTATCTGTCAGATATTTCCACCCTGGTTAATTAGTGTGGTTTGCACTAACAATTCAAATAAATAATTAACTTTCATTGATATGTTCTCAAAGCTTTGTCAGTCTTCTGATGCTTATGCTATTTAGAGGAATGCACTTATTTTATCTTTGCACTAGGTCTCTAAAACCTTTAGGAGAAATAAGTGTGCTCATGCGATCCCTGTTAGAGATGCTGTGTTTGATTTCGTTTTTGACATTTCACACATAATGTGCATGTTATTGCCAGACAGATTTCATTTCTAATGGAGTGCTGTGGTCATGTATTTTTGCATAAAGTCAGCCATAGCATGTTTTCTAAGTGCGCGACCGACGTCAGCTTGTTTCTGAAATGTCTACATAAAGAATTGTTAATGTGCCTGTGACTTTTCTTTTCAAAGATTTTCTACATTTAGCTTCAACAAATGTAAACTACAAAGCATGACACGGGCAGCTATGCTTACAAAAAAGTATGTCATTATGGATTGTTGTGTGTTTACCTGTTCGGCTGATGCCGTTTAATGTCCCAGGCAGTGTTGCCAACTATTTTCAAAGGAAAGTAGCTAAGGCCTTCCCTAAAAGTCGCTAAATGTCGCTAGATGACGTCATACGTCAATTAGCATATTAATGACGTCATCGCGTCGTACTTGCGTTCTGTCAGCCTAGTGCGTTTTCTCTCTAAATTAATGCTCTATTCAATATAATATAGCCGAATGTCAAATAAAGCTGTTCTCATTTCCTATTTTTTTGTTGTCAGACAATTGAACGAGTAGCTACATCAATAGTGAATGATTATATTTTGTATAGGCCTATGTGGAACATTATCTGAATTGAGAGAGTTAGGGAACCGGATGAACTAAGCTCTGTGATAGTGTTACAAGTAATAAGCACAAGAAAAGAAATAAAATTAAAATGGTCAAACTAAATTCTTTAAATATAAAACAAAAGAAAAGAAGATAAGTGATAAGTCCATGGAAAACACTGCTCATTCGCGTCTGTCAGCGGCCGTGCGCTCCTCTCAGCCATTCACTGAACAGGGGAGACGCAGCTAGAGAGAGTGACGACAGGGAGAAAGCAAGACATCGCGCTCGCAGGACAGTACTGGCAACATTTGGAGGTTACTGAGGTTTGTCCAAAAAGTCGCTAAAATTGTCGCTAGTCGCTTTTTTGAAAAAATGTCGCTAAAGGGGTCTGAAAAGTCGCTAAAAATAGCGACAAAGGCGCTAAGTTGGCAACACTGGTCCCAGGCAACCTCTGTCATCTCATGTAATCTCCACTTGTTAGCAGCTCAGGTTGTGGTGTGCGCTGCCCTCTGCTGGTGTGACTGACTCTGTGCTCCTGTAGGGTGAAGCAGCATCGGCTCCGGTGAAGGTGGTCAAGACTCAGCCCCAGCGCCGGCTGCTGAAGTTCAGTCTGCCCGGCGACCCCTATGGTTTCTCGGATCTCACTGATGTTCCCAAAGGAAAACTGTCGCTTGTGGAAGCTTTAACCGGCCTGAACAACCACAAACGCATGCCTAAAACATGGACTCCAGAGAAGCTGGCGCTAGAGTTCTCTCTGGATCCCAAAGATGCCAAAGCGCTGACAGATTTCTTTTTTCCCTTTGATGTCAAAATCATTCCACCAAAATCCGAGGAGACGAAGCAGATTAAGGATTCTTAGCACACGTGAGCGCCGTTCTGTACAGACTCGAGTCGTCGCTGGAACGCACAATGGATAATTGCCTCAATATAAGTGTTTTGACATTTTGATTGTGTATATTGTTTGTTTTTGAAGGGCCTGTCTATTTATTAGTTTGTCTTATTTAAGCATGGCATATCCCAATGATAATTTCAGTTATAAGATAATTAAGATAAATTAATGTAAATGTTTCTGGAAATCTTATGTCATATCAATGATAGTATCAGCATCAGATCAGTACAGATTTTATTTCTCGATAAAGAAATGCTATATTATGTTTGCTGTTAGACAATAAATCAGCTGCCCTTGCATTTTGACCCAGTGAACTGAATTTAACAAGGTTGTACAAGGTGAAATATTCTATAAAGTTACTCTCTGCCATACTTGAATATTTGATTTTAATACTTTTTGCACTCCTGGTGGACATTCTATTTTAGTGAATTTCTGAATGTCCTGTAAAGAGCACATTCAGGGCTTTTCAGAGATACCAAATGTTTGGAGGATTCGCCATGACACTACCGGTAACTTATCTTTGTTAAAAATGACTGACATTAATTTAATGATCAAATTTAGCACTCATATTTTGTAATTATCATTTCAATCTGACTCATTTCAAATTGTTTGTCATTAATCATAATCTCAGTAAAATGTTAGGGGTTTCTAATCAAAATATGACTTTGTTACAAAACAGGGCATTGATTTCATACGTCCACTAGAGGACACTGGGACTTACATCATGTTTATCAGGCATTTTGGGAGACACAGGTGAATAGGGATAGAAATTATATATCAATATTCAATATATGAAATATTAGATATTATTATGAAAATGTGGCTCCCGTTAGAATATTCTAACTCCCATTATTGCACTACTTTTTTCATTACATGTTGCCCCAAGAACACATTAATATGCTAATACAGATACATTGTATTGAATGGGAAAACCCATTTATTTTACCCACATATTGCATAAAGTAAAATGGTATATCAATTTATTCCGTTATATCTTTCATAACATAGATGAGAATCATCTTTATACAAAGTTTGGTTTTTAAAAAACTGAAACCTAAAAAAAAATCCAATTGTTTTTGCCTGTAAAATGTAATTTCATGTCCTTTTATTTTTTTTTAAACAACTGAGTCCATAGCATAATATTCATTTTATTCATATAATGAACAAAATTCCCCCCTTAAAGATAGTTTTTTGTTTTAAATGTCTCGTTAGCAGCAGATTTTTTTTCGTGTGCACATTTCGAGTTAAAGTTTCAGATGGCTTCGTTTCGCTCATCACTAAATCAGAACACTGCTTTTCTGCGTCTGTTGTTTATTTCATTTTGTTTTATATTTCGAAACCACTGAACACAGTACAACAGCTGAACGAGATCAATTCCCGTCCCATTGATACCCGACCCGTCCCGCCGCCGCAACCAAACACAGCTGCAGCGACTGCGGTCATTGGCCACAGTGAGAACACCAGTGGGCGACTCCTGCGTTCTCATTGGTCAACGGCGTGTCAATCAAACCCGGCATTGAAATGTCATTGGTTTCCTCTCAGCGTGCGGTTAATGCGGGGACAGCGCGAGCGTCACGGTGTGTTTGGGATGCATATGAGAAACGAGACGCGGGTACAAAATGTATCATGCATTTCTCTCCGTTTAAAACGAGCGTTTGCATTCGGGAAAATAGCGAGGCAGTTTAAAGAAGTTTTCTCAGGGCATTTTAGATCATTAAGATTAGACATCTGTTTACACTGGGTTTTCTGATTGATTCATTACGCTAAAACGGGCAGAATTCAAAGGTTTTTTAAAACGTTTAGTCTTTTTAAACCGAAGCCCTGCCAGTCTGGTTTTATACCAATACGCGAAGAAATAGAGCGTGTAACATCTGTAAATAAGTGTATTTTATGTGGAAATGTTGTGTTGTCGAAGCTTCAAACATCTGGCGAGAGAAGGATGTGATTCTGAATCTCAGCGAATAATGATGTGAATGATGCGGCATCCTTTATTTCAAACAAGACACACAGGAGAATCAAGGTAAAAAACCAACTTTATTAATGATTGTGTTTAGAGTGCACTATATAACAATTTAAATATGATTGTGATGTTCTCTACTCTTTCCTCCATTTTAAATCAGTTGATTCACTTTCAAGGTGAATCTTTCAGATCCTAAATTGAAAGCAATTTGCAAGGCAAGATTTTCTCTGGTTAAATATAATATCGGTAAAAAAAAAAAAAAAAGAGTCAAAAGTGTAATAAGAATCATATCTCTGCAATTGTTTCCCCACCTATTTATCAGAGATGAAAGTCTGGAGCCTTTGATCTAGAAAGTAACTGGAATTCATTGAGCTTTTCCTTCTCTATCTTCTTCTTCTGGTCTGGCCTAGGCCTTTTCTGTCTCAAAACTGCAGCTTTTAGAAATGGAGGAATGTTCTAGGTTCACAACATCGAACAGTCTTACTGTTGAGGCCTCTTGAAGTGATTGTGCTTCATAATGGAGGGACGCATTTCCCAAGCATAGATGAAGAGACACTTAATCATTTTATTCCTGTTGCTAGGATCCACAACTTCAGTATACACGACTGTCATTCGCTCACGAGTTTCCTCTGCTGTCACTATGGTTTCAGCTGATACTGTACCACTGATAGTCTGCTGTAAGATGCTTTCCACTTCAGTTTGACTTCTTACAGCTTTTAATCCAATGCAGAAACCTTTTATTTGAGACTGGTCTGATATCATGTTATATCATGGATTCTTCTGTATTAGTCTCAAAAACATGTTCTTTCTTGTTACTTTGGTAGAAAATCATCAGCCAAGACCTGTGAATGTAGGTCAAGGTGGAAACTCTTGAGTCGATACAAGCCGATTGCAAGATTGTGCTGAAATAGTGATCTGATTTCACCTGATATGCGTGTGTGTGTTTGGCTTGTTTTTCTATTCCTGTGGGGACTTCAACCTGAATCCACCACACTGACTGGGCACCTAAATTGAGGAAACACGCTTATAAATCATACAGAATGAGTTTTTTTGAAAATGTAAAAATGCAGATAGTTTTGTGTGATGGGTGGGTTTAGGGGTCGGGTTAGTGTAAGGTGAGAGCATATAGCCTACAGTTTGTACAGTATAAAAACCATTACGTCCATGGAAGTCTCCTCAAAATAGGGAACCAGACGTGTGTGTGTGTGTGTGTGAAGATAATTATGTGTGTGCGAGTATGTATGGGTGCTTGCATGTGGGTGGGTGAGTTTATTTAGCATAAAGGTGCCTTATTCTCTCATTGTTTTTCATAGATGCTTTTGGGTAAAGTCAAAGTGGCACCTTGAAAAATCTTTTAAACCTAGCCTTTGTAGAGGAACTCTTTGCCAAGTTGCCAGACAAAATGCTCTCGTTGTCCTCTAGTGGAAAATCTACTCTTTAAGCCAGGACTTTTCAACTCCATTAACAACTAGGCCTAGGCCAAATGGAACAAAAATCTTTTGGGCATATAGTTCAACATGAATGTGCCCAGGTGATATGTTGCTTGGTAACTGAAATCAGCCTTTAGTTATGCGAAATAACTGTCCTTGGTGAAATAGTTTATTCTGAATTTTAATACATTTCATTTTAAGTTTTAGAAATATAAAATACCAAAGTCTGTTACAGCTGTTATAAAGTTATTCTCAAGGCTGGTTTTTTTTTTTTCTCTCTCTCTCTCCACTTTATGTTCGGCATTATCCATGGCGCAATCGATGAAAAACACAACCTCTTGTGGTTTATTGTTTTGGCTGTACGTTTTGAATAAATATTATTGATAAATTAAAACAACACAGTTAAAGGGATTGTTCACCCATCATTTCCTCATTTACTCACCCAAATGTTATTCCAAACAAGACTGACTGACTTGTGCAGAACGGCAAAAAAGATCATTTGAATAATGGTTTCAACTACAGGAAACACTGATCACCACAGTGGTGCTGCTCTTTCCTTCAGGGATTTACTCATTAACATCGGGTGTCATCACTAATTGTCACAGTCACACTGAGCGCGGTTAAACACAGGGGATTTTGTTGTGTAGCATCCAACCTTGAGACATTTTCAAGCCAACAATTTTGTAATCCTTATTAATATTTAAAAGACGTTCAAAGAATGTTTTCAGCAAACATTATGCGAACATTCATCAAATAACAATATATTTTGATTTCAAGAACATTGTTTTGAAAGTACTTAATTCTTACACTTGCCTATTAACCTTATTCATTTTAAGTTAGTTCTAAATCTTTAAAGGATGTTCCAAGAATGGTCTTCTAAGAACCTTTTATCCCAATATTATAAGAACATTAAAAAAACCTTACAGACAATGCATAAATTATGTTTTTTTGTGGTAACCTTTTGAGAGCATTAATACGATTAAATAATATTGAACAAACATTCTATGAATGTTACTGGAATAACTTTGAGAGAACCCTGTCAGAACATTAGCCAGAGTTGGAACGTTCCCTGTTAGCTGGGTTTATAGGTTTGTGATTATTCTTCAGATTTCAATACCTTTGTGAACCTGCTATTAAAGCTCAGTGGTTTAAATAAATGACATCTAGCTATTAATGGACTGAAAGACAACTGTTAAAACTAAACCAATAATTGTATTATATTCTTCAGTGAAAGAGGTACAAATATATGGGCAAATCCATGTCAGATCAACCACATTTTAGAAACTTCTTCAATCCAAATATTTGATTTTTGTTAATCATTTTGGAAAAAACAATATCTGTTACTTTAATTTCCTATTATCACTGTAAAGCTGCTTTGAAACAATCTATATTGTTAAAAGTGCTATATAAATGAAGGTGACTTGACATAATGATGGACATAAATGATGATCATTAGCCCCCAACATATTGTGTTGTATTGAATATCTGAACATGCATCATATCAAAAGAAAGAACATTGCCTCCGCTTTTAAACTAACAACCAAACAAACAAACAAAACCTGTTTTATTCTAGCTTCATGCATTCTGTTTTGTATCAATACTTGAATGTTGCTAAGTTTCATTAAAAAAAAGCAACATTTTGAGCAAAAAGCTGAGAAAATCGCATTTTTGTCCAAGACTACATCCAGATCAGATCAAAATCTAGATGGAGTAGATCGAGTCCATCAACACCTTCACAGTCCTACAGCTCGTCCTGGGTCGTGTCAATTGCTTAATCGATTGTAATCAATTGAAATCCCCCTGAGCATTGGAAGGGTTTTCCTCCCTGTATTTCCTTCCTACGGAGGTCCGGACAATATTTTCTTGGAATAGATACATTTCCATCTGGGCTGCAGTAGTACTACTTTGTAAAAGAAAAAAAATCCTAAACAGTCAAAATAGTGATCTCAGATGATGAGCCAAAGCAGTGGTGTCTGATAATGTTAAAAAAAAAAGAAGGAAAAAGTCAGTTGAGCCCAATTGGATATGAATATTAAAGGGTAAGATGTTTTATCTGGCTATTATTATTTTTACATTTTGATAACTACAGTATCTATGGCAGAAGGCCATGTGACAGAAAATGTATCGTATGAGGGTTCAGGGTTTCCTTATGAACTCAGCACCATTTTCATATTTTGCTCAAAACAAGTATCTTATAAAAACAAACAATGCACATAATAATCAAAACGCTATCATCATGAGCAGAAAACAAAGCTATTACTAGTACTTTCAAACTTTTTGTGGTCTTTCCATCTACAAATAATTTCCCCAATTATAACATTGTTTATTATGAAATGCTGATTGATAATGTAGATGAAAAAGACGTCCTGTCAAAAAAAAACATTTTTATTGTACAGTCGGACTGTCGGAGTCATATGTATGACAGATAAAAGTAGCCTAATAGTAATAATATTTATAAGAAATGGTAAAATTCTCATTTTCTGCTGCTTTAGTGAAAGTAAGCATTCTATTTTGCTAGAGTTGTTAAAATACTAGTGTCAGTTGCTCCATTGTTTTGATGCGCTGCTCACTTTAAACTGCTGAAACGGTAAAACAGTGCTACCGTTGTCATTGTGTTTTGCGGTCCAGTTTCAACAATGTCAGAGTCCGGAACCGGACCACGGTCCGCTATTTGAGGACCCCTGCGCTATGTACAGTGTACTGTGTTCATCGGCTTGTACACTCATTGCGATTCATTATGAGATTTAAAAGAGTGCACTCGATAATGTCCACCATGGTTTTGCACACAACTACAAATGTGTTCTCTCGCAAAATCTTTGCATTTCTCTGAGAAACTTTCCTTTCACTCACCATTTCCCTTCGGGGGCTCCGTACTTCAAACATGCTTGCTTGACGTGCAAGAACCAATGAGGTTCATTCTCGTGTTACGCAGCGTGTTTGAGCTTCTGCAAGAACCAATGAGGTTTGTTCTTGTATTTGTAAACAGCTTCCGTTTACCATATTTCACCAACGTTGATCAAAGTTTATTTGAACAAAAGCCTGAATAAAATAAAATAAAGTGATTGTGTCTTTTCAGAAGACTCAGACTAAATCGCTCTATTCATATGGATTTCATATTCATTTTGAACATTAAACGTTTTGAACCGTTAGAGTTTTGGGTGAATAGACTTTCAATGAATGGAGACTCTGAAATATCTCTGATGTAATTAAAAATATCTCCATTTGTTTTGCAAAGATGATTGAAAGTCTTATGGGTTTGGAATGAGACTAATTGATGACTGAATTTTTTTTATTTGTAGATGAACTAACCCTAAAACGAGGGTTGTAACATTGTTTATCATGAAATACTGATTAATAATGCTAAATGTAGATGACATGGCATGACGGATTTAAAAAATATATATTTATTATTAAAATAAAGTATTTTGAAAACATTATCCATATCAAATCTTCATATACAAATAATTATGAAATTGTTATTGTTAACATTGGGGTTTGCGATGTAGCTGCTGTCAGATCCAATACAGTTGGCTCAGCTGCTTAATTTTTCAATTAGTTTTTTTTTTTTCTCTCTTCATCGTTTACAAAACAATCTGCAGTCAAATCATTTGAATTTAATCATATAATCCTCTGATGCGATCTGGGATGAAATGAAAAATAAACCATCCATTTGTTCCTAAAGCTGGGGAATCTGTACGGTCTCAAACAAGCTACATAAACTCTTCCGTTTGTCCTGTTGTTGACAGACTCAGGTGTGTGGAGTACATCAGAAACTAAACTCACGTCTGTATACTCCAGTGTAGACAGCGTCAGTGATTATAATGAACTATATTTGCTTTTAACGCAACGCTCACATCTGGTGTAAACCGGTGTCAGCCATTAAGCGACTGGTTTCCATGTGGATGGTGTATAACTATTTCACAGTAAACCTATTCTAAACCTGCAGTCAGCTGGCAGCATCTCTTTGCTATGACTCTATATTGTGTTACATGTTAGATTGTTTGTGACGTTGTGAATCTTGCACAGCTAATTCATTTTCTCTTCTTCCCCAGGCTCTGCCTCCATGCTGAGATGTGTGCTAGCGACCCGTCCGATAGGCTGAGCTTGCTCTCTTTACCATGTAACTGCAAAAAGAAGAATGCTTTATTCCTCCACTAGTCTGCCTGTGGCTTCAGGGCCGCCCAGCGCCACCCTGCCCCCCCCACCGAGGGCGCTGACCCAGCCAGCGGGTACAAGAGCCATGGAGAACTCCTCCGCTAAAGCCAACAGCTCGCTGGAGCTCCGGACTCTATCGGGATACGTAACGCCTCCAGCTGTCGGGCCGGACCCGGTTCAGGGCCTGAACCTGCCCCTTCAGGTGTTCTTCGGGTCGGTCATCATCTGCGTGCTGCTGCTGGCCTTCCTCGGAAACATGGTGGTCTGCGCCATGGTTTACCAGAGAGCCGCCATGCGCTCCGCTATTAACATCTTACTGGCCAGTCTCGCCTTCGCCGACATGATGCTAGCGGTCCTCAACATGCCTTTTGCCCTGGTCACAATGGTGACCACGCACTGGATCTTCGGAGAGGTGTTTTGCCGCGTGTCAGCCATGTTCTTCTGGATGTTCGTGATGGAGGGCGTAGCGATTTTGCTGATCATCAGCGTGGACCGTTTCCTAATCATCGTTCAAAAGCAGGACAAGCTAAGTCCACGCAGGGCCAAAGTGTTAATCGCAGTCTCGTGGTCTCTGTCTTTCTGCTTCTCTTTCCCTCTTTCCGTTGGCCATCCGGCCCTGGACATCCCCCCCAGAGCACCACAGTGTGTTTTCGGGTACACGGCGGACCGGGGCTACCATGCCTACATGATGCTGATAATGCTGGTGTTCTTCTTCGTACCGTTCCTGGTGATGCTGTACACGTTCATGGGCATCTTGAGCACACTCCGCCACAACGCGCTCCGCATCCACTCCCACCCGGACTCGGTGTGCCTCAGCCAGGCCAGCAAACTGGGTCTGATGAGCCTCCAAAAACCCTTTCAGATGAACGTCGACATGAGCTTCAAAACACGTGCCTTCACCACCATCCTCATTCTGTTCTCGGTGTTCACCGCATGCTGGGCTCCGTTCGCCACCTACAGCCTGCTGTCCACCTTCAGTCGCCCCTTCTACTACAGGCAGAACTTTTTTGAGATCAGCACGTGGCTGCTGTGGATTTGCTACCTCAAATCAGCTCTGAATCCTCTGATCTACTACTGGCGTATCAAGAAGTTTCGCGACGCCTGCCTTGACCTGATGCCCAAGTACTTCAAGTTCCTGCCGCAGCTGCCCGGCCACACGAGGAGGCGGATCCGCCCCAGCGCCGTTTATGTGTGCGGGGACCATCGCTCCGTGGTGTAGTGGAGGACCTCTTTTAACCCTGAAGCGTCTTTTGTAATTCGTATGGTACAATCCTATCAGGCTGTGATATGTTTGGTCTTTCTTAAAACTGCAGGATGTTTTAGCTGTAAAAGATTGTACAGATGAGAAGCCTGTACAGTTAAACTACTTTAATTGCACAATGTTTTTTATAGGGTTTAGAATTTACTAGACGTTTGTTCAGTACATATCAGTCAGGTGCTGCTATATTTGGTGAAAATGTGCAATCTTCTGTTTAATGCCATTGAATGTTATATTTTGTGTGCTGTATTTGTTTTTTTTTCCTGGCTTTGTGATCCGGTTTACACTTTAACATTTTTTAATTTTGTTATTAATTGTTCAGCTATTCCTTTTTTTTCTTCTTTTTTTTTTTAGGGCTGCACCGCTTATGAAAATTTTGCCCTATACCGATAACTGACAATACTTTATATTTGAAAGCCGATAACCGATATATTGGCCGATAAATGCAAATCCAAATCCAAATTTTTATATAGTTTTTGAGAGCCTGATTACAAAAAACAAAAGTCTCACCATTAAAAGCCATGTCCCAAGCACTTTAACATAAATCAAACATATACAGTTTAAAAGTTTTAAAATTGGCCAACTTTTCTAATAAAAAAAAAAAATATCTGCCTTAAAAATAAATAAACTGCCTAAATAATTCAAACAAGTCATTGGACAACATACTAGCGTATAAAGAATCAAATTCCATATGCCATGGATAAAATAAGATAATTCATTATCAGCTTTAAGATATCTACGATATCATTATAAATAACATTAAAATGGAACATATTTCGTCCGATACCGATTGTTGGCCGATATATCGCGCATATAATTTTTTTTCAGTGTGGAAAAAAGGCATTTGACAAAGGTGACTATTCAGCATCTTCCAATCTGATAAGACTTTGTGGAAATACAGTACATGATTTTTATGTGATTTTTTTTTTTTTAATTGTGATTTCCATTTTTGGAAGTGAATAAAATCATGGAAATGAATCAAATCGTAATTCATGGATATTCCATTCTAGTTATTGCTTGTTGTGAGTGTAATCGTGAAGGGGTTTTTCCCCCTTGGTGTCATGAATGAATGGAAATGTCAAGAAGTTTATTTGGTCAAAAGTGGGAGAACCCTGTCAGTATTTGTGTACAGTACAGTACAGGTGTGTACAGTATATATCATTTGAACAACAGCTGACCAACTGCTTGTTGGTGACATGGCGTTAAAAGTCAATAAACAAAAACAACAACAAACAACCAACCACAGATATGTTTCTTATATCTTTTTAAAATGTCAAACGGCACGCATCTGAGGATCTGTTTCATCCCTCTGTCAGCTGCGGCTGGAACGGGGTCCGTGGGAGGCTTTGTAGTGCGCCGCTTCATTCAGATGATGATTTCTTTCTAAAGGTAAACCCTGAGGCTTTGTGAGTCTGAAAGGTAATGTTCCTTCACTAGTCCCTCGTGGGCTTGATTATTTCTCCAGCCACCGCTAATGAGGATGCTGTGGGCTTTAGAAGCTCATCAGACCCAATGTGTGGAACTCTATTACTTAGCAACAGTATGTATTACTTGGCAACCGGCTTGTGTTACTTAGAGTTGGCACACTCTCTGGTGGGAGTTTTTGTTTTTTTGGAGAAGCTACTATAACATTGACATTTAGAAAGTCTTTCAGAATTTAGAAAAAAATTAGTAGGAAATTCCTCCCATGCTTCATTAAATGAAAATTGTTAAATAGGCAATATCATTATATTATAAATCTCTGGTTTTTATCATCTGTTTCAGGAAACAGTATAGTTAGTAAAATCCATGGTTAATTCCAACTATAAAATTATATGAATTATTAAAAACTGCATTTGCATCAAATTTTAATTGTATTTTTAAATTTGTCAATTTGAACAACACATCTGTATCTTTTTTTGTCACCTCACTTCAAATTCAAGAAATGTCAACCACTTACAACTGCGAGTAGTGGCCGGATGTGGCCAGGTTGTTCACCTGTTTCTATTTGTGAATTTCATAGTATATTTGCTAATATTGTGTTTATTTATGGTCGACATTTGAATTTTTTGAAACCACATTTTTCACTTTATCACACAGAACAAAAATATAAAGCAGTTGTTTAATAATGAAAATAAATACCAACCTGATCTCATGCAAAAATCGGAATGCTCTTTATATTCAGGGAGCATATCTGCAATGTATTGAGGTCCTATAGGCCATTGAGTGATTTATAAACAAGTAATAATACTTTAAAATCAATCCTAAATGTAGTGGGAGCCAGTGTAAAGACCTGAGGACTGGTGTGATGTGTTCATATGTTCTGGTTCTGCTCAGCGTTTTTTTTTTTTTTGGGAAGGCCAGTGAGGAGTCCATTACAATAGTCCACCCTGCTGGTGATGAAAGCATGGTTTTCTAAGTCTTGTATGGAAACAAAGCATCTCATTCTTGCAATATTTTTGAGATGAAAGTATGCTTTTACATGACTACTGAAACTAAGGTCTGACTCTGAGACACACCAAGATTCCTGACTTGATTTTTAATTGTTTGACCCCTAGAGTGAAGGTATGCGTTCACCTTGAGAACTTTATCTTTGTTTCCAAACGCAATGAGTTCAGTTTGGTCTTTGTTTAACACCCATTTAGGCCTAAAACGCCTGCTTAAAAAGGCCTTTTTTACATCACAGATGTGTGATCCGGTTGAAGAAAGTTTTGGCACATCTAACTGGTAATTTCATCAATGCGTTGACACAGGGAGTGAATGGGGCTGTAGTTAAGTTGTTAGGCGCAGAACAGAAAGAAAAGGGAATATGAAAAACAATGTATAAAAATGTGTCCAAACAGAGATTAATAAGCTTAACCTATCATTTGTATCTCTGTAAGTCTTGAGGTTAATCAACATTTGACATTTCTGCCTGAGAGAGCAAAGTGATTAATGTCAATATCCATTAATTTCCGAGTGTCTCTGGAAGAGGGATTTCACTGGGCCAGTTAATAATATAACTTTCATTCTAGTATATTTTATGAATATGCTTCATCATATATTGTGCTCTTGCTGTGTCTGAATGTATTGTTATAAATTGAGCTTTAGAGTGTGTTATAGTTTTATAAGTGTATTTGTGTGGTCATTGGGAGAGGGTCTTAACATTTTTCTTATCAGGTATTTAACTGTTCACACTCTCACTCTCAACTTGTTGTTGTTCTCAAAAAACATCATCTCCCTGCCATTCCCATGGCAACAAGAAGCAAAAGTGTATAAGAAACCGGTCCCTGAATACTGCAAAGAAAAGGGCAAAATTACAAAAAATGTAAAGGAGAGCAAATTGTCCACATGTACAATAAAAGCCATCTGGAACAACCAAGTAATCCTGCCTATGTGTCCTGCAAAGCTGCTGTAACACAGTTTCAGACCCAGTATCAAACCCGGCATGTGCAAATCCATCACACAGATCATATCAGACCTCAAAATATACATACCCTATTTGAGTAAACCAATTTTCTTCGCTCTGAAATCGGTGATATAAAAATGCATTTCTGGTTACAATTATCAAGTAAACAATCAAATGTAATATTTCACTGTAAGAGCACTTGATGTGCTTTCAGAATAATCAGTGTATATTTATAATTGGAACCCATTAGATGTAGTGCAGTGTTAATCCCTTCTGCGAGAAAATATCCATTTACACGACAGCACATTTTAATCAGGTTGCAGGAATGTGGGCGGGTGTGAAATCATAATTATGTGGCTCGCGGTTTTTTGTTGTATTTATAGAATCCGAAATATGAGTCCTTCTGTGAATTTGTTTGTCCATCAATCCATTTTCTTTACCTGGTTATCCTAAGTATGATCCCAGCATGCCTCAGGCCTGAACAGGGTTATGGCACACAATCACATTCACTCGATGAATTTAGACACTGCTCATGTATGTAACATACTTCAATGCTTATGCCCTTACTATACCAGATTATTATAGTTTACTGAAGGTGTGGCCTTCATCAGCACCTGAATCGAATAGCAGGCACTTGATGTAGTGATAAAAGGCTCTCTTGAGATGAACGCTTCTATGCAGAATTACTCACTGCCAGGTGCACATTGGTTGACATGTATAAATCAGTGGTTTGAAAACAATAGGCAGTGTCCTCAGTTTCTTTAATCAAATGTAAATTCATGTTCCAGTTTTATCTGACGTGGATACATTTTCCAGGTAAAAAAAAACACATTTCTACACTATTAAAATCGCAACATTTTGTGTATATTTTATTTGTGAAGTTACAGATATTCTTTTTAATGATCAGATTTTAGTTTCTTTTCAGATACAGCATTGCCTCCTCTCACGTGACTTTTCCCCATTCATTCTCTATCAAATCCACAGCACATGTAGACTGCATCTGAAATCATATAGCAATTTTTTTCTGGCCCAGCTCCGGTCCACACAGCCCCTTTTCCCACGGCCCACATGCCTCAAAGCCCTGGAGTGTCAAAGATCCGGATTAAAGACAAGGGCCACACATGGGCCATAACTGGCCCGAGTCTCAGACAATTACTTACCCATAACTGGCCCTGCACTGGGCCTGAATAGGTTTTAGTGTTGGTACCGATTCTCAGCCTTAGGTAAACCAGAAACCCCAAAACTGAGCCATTCCAGAGCCTTATCTACACTTTAAAAAAAAAAAAAGGTACAAAACCGGTAAATGACTGTCACCTACGGCTGCCAAACCAAAACCTTAAAATATCCTATTTTACATAAAGTGCCAAAAAACTTCTACAGAAATTTTCAAAAAACTTTTTACAGATAAACACAATTATTTCATAGGCATTTCCTGACTAACAAACACATTCACTGTAAAATGAAAATCTCTTGCAGTTAACTACATGCACAAGTTAATGCAACTATATGTCACTGCATCAGCAACTACTCAGTTACAGCCTCTTAAATAAAGCAACATAAGCAGCATAACATCAATGTTTTCTGGCCCATCCTGAACTGAAGCACAGGCTCTACTCTCCAGCACAATGGGTCACCCACAAAACTCAAGACAACAGAAACCCTTTAAATCCTAACAGAACATTAAACACTAACAGATCTCTCAAGATCTCAGCATCTTCACGTATTACAAAATACAGACTTTATTTCTTTCATACTAAAGTTCAAATTGAGAATTAACAGAGGTATAGAACGTTTGATGTCACCATTATGGTGATCAGTGTTTTGCTTTAGTTGGGCTCTAGACCCTTGACTCTTTAACAATTTTTTCTCTGTGTGTCTCTGAAACCTGTTTGTTATGGCAGAACATGCAAGATCAAGATCTGATCAGATGTCGGTCACTTTTTACTGATGGTATAATCTTCATTTAGTGGCCTGATTCACTGATACCAGTCTAATCTCTGATTAAATTGTTTAATATTAGTTGTTAATTTTACATGTAATTACTACTGTAGAAATTCCTACAGTGCTGTGATACTCTGAAAGATTTTATGAAGTCATTATGCAGAAAATGTTTTGAAAGGACCATATAGACTCACACAGACTTTAAGAATCATCAGCGTATGCATCACAACAATGGTGACAATCACA